GCTATTTGCCTTGAGTGTATCAAATACTCGTGTTCGATATCATAAGCCATATTTTGTGTCGTGTAAGTGATACATACGCTAAAGGTAGCAGACTAAAGTGGCAGATCGTGCAATATTTGGTGAACGGTGTATGCCCTTGTTTCAACTAAACAGAGATCCTCGAGAATTTCGAGTAAAATTTGCGGGGCAGCTAAAACTAAGCGACGCCTAAATTCCTATAGACACTATAATTCTACGAAATGGATTCCGAACTTCGGTCCGAATTGTTCTGAACAAAACTTACGTAATCGTGAATCTCAATATTCTTTAGGTAGATAGTCGATGAGAATATAAAAGTGACAATAGACAGCAATCATTCGTGCTCTTACGATCTCCTTGGTATATATCTGGTTAGATTGGAGAGAACAAATCCCATCGATCGTACAAATACCATGCATAGAAGAAATTAGTTGTATATTAGACGGTGTACACGACCTCTTTCCTTTTGTATAACGTTCCTGTGTGTAGTAATATGGTCATCGTACGGTGAAAGATCCAAACAGTTGTTATTCTAACATCGTATTTGGTCCGTTTGTGAAATAAAGTGTGTATTTCGTATAATTGAAAAATTGGAAGAGGCTGGATTGTCACTTGCGAACAGATGCATTTTCGTGTCGGTAGAAATAACAGAAACATTATAGATATTGATATTAGATGAACAATTGTCTACACTATTGCTTGAAACAATTTTTTCCTCTGCCTTAAACATTATTTATAAATTAAAAAATTGTTTGTAAATTTTTCTTTTATTTATAGATATAAATAATTATTTTCAAACTTTTTTCTCTGCCTTCAAAATGTTAATTACACGTAGATTCTGAAATGTAGAACTTAATGTTTTTATTTGACTCAAATTTTTCATTTACAAAATTAAGAAAACTAACAACTGATTAACAGTGGATAAAAAATAGCACAAGTCAATAAAAATATTTAATAAGTTATTTAATAGCTAGAATGTATAAAATTCTAGCTGCTTGTCTCGCCACGTAATTGTATTCTGAATGTACTCCATTTTGCATTGAGATTACAAAATAGTTCACGAAAATTCTTCCTTTCTTTAAATTAGTAGCACAAAATAATAAAAATCGACACTTTCACTCATAAAATATCGATTTTTGGTGCAAAATGAATTTTAACACCACGTTAGGTTTGTTTTCTACCATTAATGTACATTATTAAATTTGTCTATAAAGAACAAATAAATTTGCATGCACCTATTTCGATACTAACATATGTATATGTTGCATTTTTATATAGTAGTATAATTGCAGAGGAACAAATTACTTCTAGCAATAGTAATGATTGATAAAGATAATTGTAAATACTACAATGTCACTATGATTTAAGAAACTTTCGACTAATGGGACAAAGCAAAACAGGAACACGGCTTGTATCAAAAGAAATGAAGTAATTTTCGAATGTTGACCAATGAAATTGCTACAAAGTGGAATATATATATTTTCAAATCAAGAGAATCCCAACAATCAAACCATTAAAAAGTCTATTATATATCATCTGCAATTTAATGACAGAAAATAACTGAAAAAATTTACTTATTATTACACTATGTTTTACTGTTTATATTCATATGCTTGCTTTTACCAGGTAAATAAAAATATCCCTATCTTATACTTAATGTAGATGAGAAGAAACTTCCATCAATCAGAAATTTCGTCTTAAAAATTCAAACATGTTGTGTACATAAATATTGTGTTTAATATTACAGAAATTTAATATTGTAAATTCCGCGTAAATACTTGCACAGCAATTCAAACAATCCTCGCTTGAATTTTAGGTTCCTTTCTCTTTCGATGACAAAATCTCAAAATACAAAATAAAAAGAATATCTACTTCGATTTCAATAGTACACAAAAACTTGTTCCTGATTTTATTTGCCCCACGATATTGCAAATCCTATAAGGTACCGTGTTGGCTGATAACAATAATTGAAAACCAATGGATTAGAGGACGTTAACGAAATAATGCAGAAAATGATATTATGCACATGTTAAGTGTTACAATTTGCGACATGGATGCAACGTTATCGGTTTGTAATTGGAAAACGGTTGATTGGATTACTACCATAATGTATTCTCTTCTTCACTGGTCATCACCAGCTATGTATTCGGTATTATCACCATTAACTCTTTTCCGTGGCGATAATGCTAAAATCGATACACTGGACATTTGTACAATTGACAACCTCGTAATAAGAGTGATCGCTGTAATCGAAATACAACATGAGATGCCATCACATCCGATTGGAAATTACAATGTCAAGTCTGTAATGTAATGTGTTGTGAACGTGGGAGGGAATAAGTATCATATAATCACTAATCTCTATTTATATTACATTGTGACTCACAGTGAACTTGGGTGTAATTATTTTTTAATGCGTTGGCTAACGATCCGTTCAGATTACAGTTATGTTGTGATACAAAGATGTTTAATACACTATGCATCATCCTTTTATTTAAAATTACGCATTATGTACGGACAAAGTTAACGACGTGTATTATTTAAAAATAATTATTTTAAAAATTGTAGACTTGAAGAAGACTATTTGAATATTTATGAACAATACAAAAAGTAATGTCTGAAGACATTGGTAACAGATTAAATTACAGAATGTCGCACAAAGATTCTTTCGGGTACGAAAAAAATTATTTAGACATCAATTTAATATTTACAATTACTGATAATGTAATTGTAAGTCGTTAGATTTATCTGTACATAACTTAATTATGAAGAAACCAAAATAAATTAAGATACTTTACAACGTTAACTTTAATCTGAACAAGACGTAATTTGAAAAGTGTGTTTAGAGTGAAACCTAAACGAATGCCCCAAAGATATAATGCCCCGAATATTTATTCTAATATGTATACAGGGTGTTTCCAAAGTCTTCTTAAATGTTTTACTGAGAATGTCAAACGAAGTAAAAAAGTTACTATGAACAATCTTAATTAGATAAATGTTACGATCTCTTCTTCTGTACTCGAAAAGGTATTCGAAGAATTGTTTGCATTAATCAACGTACTTACAAATAAGATTAAATATTAACGAAAGAATAATTGAAGCTAAAACCTTCTTACATACTCTTCACTTCAATAATAATGCTCACTTTCTTGTTAATAATTTGATATACTTCCCTGGTTGTCTGTTAGCACTCATTCTAACGAATGTACACTAATTACTATTTTTCTGTTAATAATACTAAGACACTATGGTCAAACCAAATCTGTTAAACTTTGCTATTTATTCTCCAAACACTCGAGTTATATTGAGGAGCACTCAATTCACCACTACACTAATATATTAAATTACTAACAATGACTTCAATCATTTCTCTGTCATTGTGTACTACTGCATTCCTATGTAGTTTCCTTGTATTAAGAATTGTTGTACTGTAATCTCTGGAAAACTTCGAATTTCCGCCCACAAAAATCTCGAATTTTAAAACCCGGCAAAACATTGCGTCCAGAATGTCAAACTATGTACCTCTTTTATTTCTCCATTTTTTATTATTATTGTTTTTCCTTAGCAAAAATTTTATCCGAGGCTTTATTAACGAGATCTAACGAACAACCCTGGCCGAGCTCTGATTAATATCTCGTTAACAAAGCCTCGGATAACATTTTTGCTAAGGAAAAACTTTTTCGAAATCACCTCACGAGTGACCCATTTCAGAAATCTACAACACTTTTGTTACACCCTGTATAATACAAAAGACTGTGATCGATTCCAACCCCCAAAAGTTTCGAATCTAAGCTCTATCGCGAGCCAGAGAGTTTTCGAGATTTTCGCAGGAACATCGTGTAACCACTTGACTGTAATGTGCATGTATTTGGTGAACGGTGGTGACTTTATTACCCGTGAACCTGCATTTGTAACCGACCGATCGGGTGTATTCGAATAGTCAACAGATACAGTCGATGGAACCTATATCTATAACGTGGTCGTAAATTAAATCGTTAAACTTATAAAAGTCTGTACCTCGACCCTTAAGCTACAAAATTCATTCGTAAATTGATATCTAAAATTTCTACTCACATTCTTTCATAGAAACTGTACGGTATCAAGTCCCTATCGTGCCTTACACAATAACAATTTATTTTTGTTAGTAAAAATAAAACGGTGCAGTCGTTACGGATTAGGGCACATACTTTTTCCAGGTTGAGCTCCTTATCTCCCCGTAATTGCTGTTTCGGCGCTCGAAACATGTAATCTTTCACGCCTGACAGATTTTACGACCGCGTTATGCAGGGTTACCCACGAGAAACAGAACACCTAAATATATCTCTTTTGGGATTGAAGGTAGGAGAACATGTCTCCAAGAATAAAGTTGCATTGTTCAAGGAGGCTAACGTGGTGGTGTAAACAATCTTTTTATTTCATATTATTTTCAAAGTTTCAGTAATTAGTTTTTTGCACGAAGCCTGCTTAGCTTCCGATTACTCTGTTTTGATTATTCCAATGGTGGGAATAACGTCGCTGTGTTGCATTCATCGAGGAATTACTATTATTCGAAGGTCATTAGTATTTTTTTTAATAACCTTAAAAATGACATCAAACAAAAAGTTTGTTTATACCATCACTTTGTCCTGCTAGTGTTTCATAACCAACCCTGTGTAGTTTTCATCGACAATACCAGTCGAAAACGATGGGGACCGACGTAGTAATAAGTATGTGTATATGGTTATAGAAAACGTACACATGTGTGTTGTGTGTGTAACGCGTGTCAGCATTGTTCTCTCGCGTGTCGCTGACCCGGACGGTATACATGCTATGTATACACGTCGCAGAAAAAAAAAAGGCAAAAGAAAAGTCCAAGTATATAGACAGTATGTGTGAATATAGTATACATATAAATAATGGGGGGAAAAATAGTAAAAAGAGTTAATATTACAGGCGAAAGAGACAGGATTGAAGGATGTATAGTTTTATATTTATTATAATACCTCTTTCCGTGTTCCCGCTTGTATTCGCCGCTGTACTTGGACCTACTGCCTACGAGCTCTATTATCTCGGGTATGCTACTAGCAAAAATTGCCTGCAAATAGAAATCATAACTGGAAAACACTAGTGCCACTACGGACCGATTTTTTTTTTTTGTGAAAACAAACTCGGCCCATCTATGTATGTGTGGTTCTTGCGAATGTATTTCGAGCGTGGTGGGCCTTTCTTCAGGCGATCTATCCGGCTGGTTCCTCGGACAATACAAGTTGCATTAGAACGCCAACAAAAAAAGGAAAAAAGAAACAAAATGGAGGATGGTGGGAAGAGGGAGTAGAGGGGAGGAGGGCTAGAGAAATATGCGGTTAAAGGAGCAACGACCTACGGTTTCCCCTATATTTCGCCTGTGCACGTGTGTCCCCTGCGGTTTTTGTCTTTTTCTCCGCCGTGAATAGTGCCGATCGCTGTGTCATACTATGGGCTATAATAATAGTTGCATCGAAACGTGAAAGTAACGTCGGCTTCCAAACCCCAGGGCGGCCCCCATTCTGCAGGACGCGAGAGAATCGCGTCACAGTGTTATGGAGAGTTCAAAAGGTATAACTTTCGTTCCACGACGATTCGTTCCATCGTAATCCATGCTTTTCTTTCCGTTGCGCGCTCGACTAAATGAAATATTCATGGTGTGGAATCGTGGGTGGAACTTTTTGATCGTTAAACTTCGTTTTCGCAGCAATGTTTCCATTCGTTCTCGAGCACGGTAATGAATACAGAGAACGTTCTATTGTTACCGATATTTCAAGATCATCGCTTAGAGAGAAACTTTTCGTGTAGATTTTTCGATCTATTATTCCGTGAACAGAAGAGTCTATTGACGGAGCTCTGCTGGTATGAAATGAATTTGTTAAAAATTTGATAATACATCATTCAAGTTAGTAGAGTGCGGTGGCGAGAAGCGTGTTAACAGATCTTCAAGCAGTTTTATGACACCAAGGAAAGATTACGAAAGGCGAATATAGTTAGTCAGTTGCACCACTTTTTTTCGTGTCTTTTCGACAGAGTATTAAGCACGTGTTCGAGAATATTTATAGAAAATAATATATAGTTAATGTTGTGTAGAAACATGGAACTGAAAATGAAGCCTGCTTCGAATAGAATGAAAGTTTTTGATTCCGTATACTTTAAAAATGACTTACTCGTTTCTGGGTGTAATTATTTTTTGTTTTATTACACGATGACTTAATGTTTTCGTAGAGATGTTATTCGATGAATTATGTCGGTTTGTAAGGCAAATTGATTACCATCGAGTTATTTGATTTTACCAGACATTTGCCTGTCACAAATTTGAATTTAACACCGAAAGTTTTCACAAAATGGTTCTAAATTTGTCCATACGTTTCTTTTTCGTATTGAATTATGAAAATACATGTTACCATATTGCTTATAAAATTATGCTATGTTTTATATTTTTGCGTTTAAATATTGTTATTTGTTTGTGTTTTCTTTCTGATCGTTTCATAATAAATAGTTCACAGATACATTTTTTCGTTCTTTTTTATAAATAGCTCATTCTTCGTTAACTACCAATAAATTTAATTTCTTAATAACAATGTGTTCTTGATGACTAACAGTTGATGAACAAACAGAGATATCTGACTTTGTTGCAAACTAATGCCGTTAGAGTGTTCAGCCAACCAACTTCAGACCATCCTCGACTATAATGGCCGCCATCTGTGGCTTTTTGATTTATTTTAAGAACCAAAGTTTCTCCCATGTGAGTCATTAAACTATCAAGAAATGGGTGACTAACAGTACCCGAACGGCCGAGTCCATAAAATAAATTGGTTCCTCTTAAGATATTATTACCGACATGATCGCTATAATTACCGGACTTACCATTTCGTACGAAATTCACGATATATGTACATAATCTAAAACGAATAAGTCATTTCTAGTACCGAAACAAAAATTCCCATTTTACTTGAATAAACTTTACGTTCAAGCTTATGCTTTATTATTTCTTACTTACTTATAATTTTACTCACCATTCGTGAATAATAGAATCAAATTTCGTTCTAATACCCTGTGTAATATCCTAAATACAGGGTATCTTGGAAGGAAACCACCAAAGTCGTCCATTATACCAACTCATTGTGAATAAAAAGAAAATGTTGTATACACCATGAATCTTTTTCAACACCAGAACCACCAGCGATAAACGTATATCTATTTCTATGAGATCGATAAACATAATAAATTTTTGACAATATACAAATTTATAAATCAACTCATTTTTTCGCTTACATACTGCAATAAAAGTTGCAAAGATTTAAGAAAATGCATTGTAATATTTTTTTATGTGCATACCAATCAAAAGTATGAGACCAGGTCCACCAGTTAATGGAGGAGTAAGTTACTACTCTACAAAGATCAAATAAAACACATATGCGAAACCTGAACACAAATAGTTGATATAACTACAGATACCACAAGCTTTAATCAATCCTCATAAATAAATGTTTCGCTCTTTCATTAATCATGAAACCTGGTTTTATATTTTTAACACTAAAACTATCAAACCCGTCAAAATTACGGGTTGCAAATATTTTATTTTTCAATTACTGAAATTGTAAAGATACTTTTATCGAAATTTATGTGAACCTCTAATGTCTTATACACTTTATATAGCACTGTACTAAGCTATATAGTATTATATATTACATACATTAATATATTACACAATTTAACTTAGCATACAGTCAACGCTGGTTATTCTAGTGTTAATTGATAGTGTACTTGCATATTGCACTATCTTATTCATCCTACAACCCTGCGACAATTCTGAATCCTGAAGAAGTTTCCTTCCAGGACAACCCGTTTACAGCTTTCCTGCAGATTTAAAGTACGAGGTTAATGTATAATGTATATACATATATGTAATCGACAAATATGTGACGGTGCAGGAAATGAGGTAAAGATTTGTTAAGAAGGTGATGAGAAACGAAGCTGCAATTGAAAATTACACGTGTGATAATAATAATATAACACGACAAGAGAAACACAGAGAGGAAAATCAGGGCAGAGTTACATCGTTGGATTGTTTCAGAAGCGGAGAACAGAAAAATCAGGAAAGCTTATTGAGGACTCCGTTATTCGACTAGCGTTAAAGGACGAAGCATTCTAAAACGTCTAGATGGATTAAATGTTGTTCTTCGTGCACATTTAGAGCGAAGCAGACCCCTACCGTTATTGTCAAATGGATAAGTCTGATATACCAAGCATTCCGTGTAAATAATTCAACGTTCTCGAGTATTGCAATCGTGTGAACGATTTTCCATGACGTCGCACTTGGTACCTTCTCATAAAGGGCTGCAGGCGAGGGAAGCGCTACTTAATTCTTGCAATTACGCTACGTCTAATGTCTCTATCGCTGTTTACGGGTACGATAATAATCAAGAAACCACTGTAAACACGGGTTGACAAATTTCGGTTAAATCAGCTTAAACAACACACGTTCCCAACATTGTTCGGTTCGTACGCGTCAGGATTTCATAGTGCTCCCTTCAATTTCTGAGTCTCGGTTACGAGTAATTCACAGATATGCACTCTCTTGCTATTGTTAGACATGTCAGGCAACTAAAGACACTGCGTTTAAACGGAAATTAGAATAAAAAGAATGTGTCGTAGGAGGAGCGGTTTTGTGTACATATATCGAACGGCTAGTAGATATTTCTGGAACGATTCCGATCGATTAATTCGAGCTTCATGGGGTATCGCGAAACGACAAGATACTACGCAAGTTGATGTGTTATAAAAAAAATTCAATTTTTGATATATAGAAAATTGCTAATGATGATATGAAAGATTTTCTTAAGAATGTAATTGGAAACAATTTTATCGAGTGTATCGTTTTCAAATAACATGTATAATAATTTTTTAGTAACATTATCTTCTGAAACATTTCAACCAAGAATACACTAAATATTTCATACTTATTTTATACATCATTTCGAATTTAATTCGATCAATTACTATAGTAAAATATTATTCTTGCTTTGATACATTTTTTTAAGGGGTTCCCTCATTTGTCGATAAAAAAGCTAATAACAGATTTAAATACTTTTATATAGATTCTACTTAATAAATCTGATATTTTTGATAATAAATTTTTGTAAATTCTGTGGTACATATGTAATTATTAAATCTCCATTCGTTAAGAGATACCATGTACAGATTACCATAATAAATCAGCAAGATACAAAGGAGAAAATATCTGTAATTACAAAATCAATAAATACCCCTTTATAATGAACAGTAAGACTCCAGAATTTTATTGATAATAGATGCACTATTTCATTTTAAGAGAAACAACTCCAAGACTCACAAACCAGAAACAAAATTCTCAGAAATTCTGAAATTAAAACAAAATAATACCGTATTATGATTTCGTCTCATAAAACTAATTAAATAACTATAAATATTAATTATCATTAAGTACATACTTTGCCTTGCAAACAAGAGTAATATAATTTTTTCTTTCTCAAAGTTTTCGTCCTCTTTGATTCACATCTTCACCTAAATGTAAAACGTTCGACCGCGTTCGAATCATCATCTGACTCACGGAATCTACTGAATTCAGTTTGAAGCGGTTTGAATGTTTAAATCACATACCTACATTACATCAGATCACCGTGACATCATACTTTTAACCGAGTGCCAAACCGCTTGAAAAGGTTCCAAAACAAACCCATCTCTAAATGGTACGAGGACATTATTTTCATTTATTAACAATAAATAATGGAATCAAACTGCTCCTTTATAAAATATCAAACAATGAAGAAGAAGCTATGTACACACTAATTTATTCTCCCGTAACGAAAACTGATCGTCTCCCAATTTAACAATAATAATGGTATTAAACATTTTATTCATAAAGAAAGAAACAGAACATAGATTCCAATCAATATAAAGAAAAACTGCATATGTATATTATTCTAAAACCGGTCAAACGATTAAAAAATATATCCTGAAGTGCTGAACTTTGTTAAATCAATCTGTTAACACCCAGAACGACATGATAGGGTCGCTGACGACCCC